TGGGGGGGGGGGGGGGGCACCCAGCCAGACCCCTACCTTTTCCTCACCTCCTGTGTCTGTGCCTGTTCCTCTTCTGCCTATTCCATGCAACCACCTGCCCACCCTGCTGCCTGCCCCTGGCCCGTTATCCCCCACTGCATGCCCTTCTGCGGCAGCTCTGGCTCCGGGAAAGTCGGCAGCGGTAGCAGTCCCAGCCTGGTCCAGCCAAGCAGAAGCAATGTCAGCAGCTCTGGCCCGGGCTGGGGCCAGAGCAGAAGGTAAAGTGGTGGAAGAAGGAAACATGGAGGAGTGGGAAGGCAGGCTGTATGTTCTTTCCTGTGCTCCTCCCTGCACTGACCTGTACACCATGGATTTCCCTTACATACCCCCACCATCACATGGGCTCCACCTCACATATCTTTCCCACTGGTCTCCCCCAGACACACTCCCCCACTGCAGTCTCCCTTGTTGCACACCCCTGCCCTACAGCACAAGCCACCTTACCCTGGGGCAGGCAGCTCCAGCTTCACTCAATGCTGAGGCCACAGCAGCTGCAGCCAGTCTTGGATCCAAGACAAATTCTGCCCCCCCACCCGATGTTGACTGGGGAAAGTAAATTCATCCTGGGTTTGGGTAAATGTTTAACAAGAGAGACATTCAGCTTCAACCAAGTTCCTGATAAATGTTGGTTTGTGTCACACAAAATGTAACAGTTTGAATAGTGATCAGAAAAAAACAGGTACTGTAGCTAGGGACTCAGATGAATATGGCAGACCTGTGTGAATACAGGCTCAATCATGGAAGATACTGAGAAACCACACCAAGTGAAATCAGTGGAAATGTAAGACACTCAGGTTGTCAAAGGCAGCTGTCAGAAAATTTGTAGAGTGCCTTCATGCACTGAATATGTTTCTAAGCCAGTAGTATTATTCCTTTGTTTTCATAAACAATCCCTCAAAATTACTTTTAAATTTATTTTGAAGGAGGAAAAAGCTGATGTATATTCCTTCAGTGATATTACTCTCTTATTTGTATGGCTCCTTAGCATTTAAGATCTGTCCTGATAATGAACGATTTAGTGGTCAGACTTGTCTTTGTTCAGCTTACTGGATGTTACATTTAATGCACTACCCAAAGATGATTTGAGTAGACACAGTCTTACCAGTAGAGAAAATGAGAACAGTGTTGTCCCAAAGGCCATAACTCTTTAGGGCTGCAGTGACGTTACCTACAGCTTCATCCATAACAGATACCATTCCTGCATAGTGACGCCTTTTCTCATCTTTAATGAAGTCATATTGTTTCATGTATTCCTCAGGAACCTGAAGAGGTTCATGAACAGTCTGAAGAGCAAGGTAGAGAAAGAGAGGCTGGAAAAGAAAAGTTATGTAAATTAGGTGACAGTACCCAAACAATACACGCAAAAATAGCAACAGTAAGCAGGTCCAGATCTAACAACCAACTGATCTTTTATTTTCCTTCTGATTTCTGTCTCGTAATTTCTAAGCATAAGGTATCTTCAGTTCTGGGAAAGGTTTTTGTTAGCCACTGAAAACTGAAAAATCAGTGACTCTTTTCCAATATACTGGTTGGGGTTTTGTTTTTTTTTGGGGGGGGGGGGGGGTTAGGGTTGTTTGTTTGTTTGTTTTATTAAATACACCAAAGTTAAAAACTATACAAATTCTCAAAAAGCAAAAAAAACACAACACAAGTCCTCCCAATAGGGTATCATATAGCTATGCATCTGCTAAGAAATCACACTATGAACACAAAACTTAAAAATGCTTAACATCAGCAAAACCTTTACATACAAACAAAATAAAATAACTCATAAACCAATTACAGCATCATATTTCCATAAACTAACATCAATTTTTTCAAGACCCCATCAGTCCCATATAATCACATATGTAGACCACAATTTTATCCCATCTCCATCAACCACCCTGTCACCATTTTCTTCCTCCATTTTTGCGTTAAACCCCAACCTCACCCAATTCCCATTGGCTCAACCAAGACTCCAACTAACATTTTTCCATTCCGTTATTACTTCCCCATCCTGACTCTCCCCACTTTCATGCCCCATATATCCCCTCATCTCATAATAACCCAATTGCAAACTTTCCCATACTGTCAAACACAAACCTTTAAAAACTAACGAACACATTACCTTCTATAGTGCCATCCTCATCCCCATCAAAAATACCCTAACCTCCAGTTCCTGAATTCACCCTTTCACCAATACATACATTACCCCCCATAAGAAATCCCTTCCCCCACAACCCAAGCCCCTCAAAAAAATTCCTACCCATCCCCACACCTTTCATGCATAAAAGCACTCCCAAAATATGTGGTGAATTGTTTCCTCCCTACAGCATAACTCCCTCGAACAGTTTGCCAACTGTACCAAACCCCACCAGTGTGGTCTCCCTCACCATTAGAACCCTCCTTACCGCCCTCCACGCTCATTCCCTGTGCTCCACCCTCCACCTTTTATCCACTACCCTTTTCCAATGTACTAGTAGCAAAACTATCTTGTTATAATCTTCCTGCTATTCTATCTACCCTCCTAGGCTAGGAACAGAAGTTACACATAAACTGGTTTAAGGGATCAGAAACTTGTTTAAACTCGTAACAGAACAGAAGTTCAGTGTACGTAAACCAGTTTCAATATGGCTGAAACTCGTTAAAGATAAAGCTGGTTGAATGTAGTATCAGACTTACCTGATTTGGGTCAAACCAGTTTATGAAACTTCTGTCCCAGACTCCTTCCTGGTTCAAGTTAAATCAGTCCCCCAGCATGCCAGCACGCTTTCCAGCCCTGGACTGGGCTATCCTGTGTGGTCTAGAGGGGGGCTACCACCAGGCAAACTCTGGCTGGGATTTGGGGCTAGGAAGCAGGGTTAAACCTCCCTTCCCTGGTTAAAACTCCCTTCCCCCAAGTACAGAGCTGCCTTGCTGCTAAACTTACTGGAAGTTACTGCTGGCTGCAACTGTGAATTACAAATCCCAGAGGCACCGGGAAGCAGGAAGAAGTGATGAGCAACCCTGAAGAGTCCTGCTTCTGTAATGCTGGACTGCAAATCCCAGAGACCTCGGGGCAGTAGGAAGAGGAAGTGCCAGAGAGACATGCTCTTGTGCCCCCTGGCTTCTGACCTGAGTCACTGCAGGGATGTGGCTGCATTTCCTGAATCAAAGGTAAATGTGTGCCCAGTTGTTTCTCAGTTTAATCTTTGCATCTTAGATTAACCTGCAAAAACTGAATTGATTCAGCCTCGGGCATTTTCACTGTCTGTTCTTAGCCCTACTCTCCTTTCAGAACCATATGCAACTCTGTTTCTATAAATGCATCTGCTCTTATTTGGACTACTGTGACATCACACAAGTCTGTAAATCATCAAAAGGCAAACTGTGAACAATCAGAACCCTCATCTCATTATATAAAATACAATTGTGTTTTATCTCCAAAATATCTATTACCAATGATATTTGCCATGAAAAGTTTCTTTACATTTTCCTGCTGTAATACACACCTACTACTTAGTTTAAGAGATTATTAAGAGACCAAACAGGCAACAGATCATTTCATTTCACTTCCACAGCTGTTTTTGCAACAGGATTTCATAGTTAAAATGTAGTTTCTTGACTAGTCAGTAATTCTTACCTATGATGAATTCTTTGTGCAAATTTTGTTAACAAATAAATCCAAAATGTTACAGCCTTTACTTATGATACATAAATGCATATGCAAAAGGGGAATCAAATTAAAGTCTATAATAGGAGAAGACTGGATTCTGAAAGTCTTCCTGTAATCTAATTTAAATAAAACTTCAAGATTGCTTTTTATAATATGCAATCTATTTTACAGTTAAGCACAGTGCTTCCTACAAAGAAAGGATATTCTAAAGAAGAAAGCATTCCTTAGCTATTAAGTCTATTTGAATGCCTTACAAAGGGAGAAGATGCTCCCTTTATATGAAGTAGAGGCCTATTAATAATTTTCCTCTAGCAGAAGTTAAGTTCTTTTTTCCCCATTAATCTAGTCTTCTGCTACATTACGTTTCTCTTCTACAAGTCTTTTTAAAGTCTTTCACAAACTATGGTATATGACAATATCAATGTTGAACTTTCTCAGATATCCCAATGCAGTACCATCCATTTCTATCTGCAGCACTTACCTAACTATATACTTTTCTGATCTAGATCTCTTGTAACAGATCAACTGCTCTTTTACAAAGCATTGCTATTATAGAAGTTCTTGGTCTATATTCATTGTCTTATTTAAACCATACCTTTTATTTTCCATGAAAACAAGCAAAAGACCACTTACTTGGATACTAGTGTGAAGAACCTAGATGCACAGCTACCTGTCAATATGACCCTGTATCTTCTACAGATTAATACTGCATCAATATTGTTATAATCAAAAAAGTTGCCCATTGTACCTTTTCAGTTTTATGGCTGGCAATAAGATCAATAGCTCTTTCTGTAAATACATGAGCAGAGTACTTGTTTTTAAATTCAACTGCGACTTCTTCTCCATCTCGAAAATCAAGGGCACAGCGTGTTACATTCTTTGCACTGATGAATACACAATGCTCATGAGAATAATAATCTTCACTTCCAAGAAGATAGCCTATAGCAGGAAAATAAAATAAAGTGATCAGATCAACATAATACTACAAAGAAGTAAATAGTTAAAATATGCTCAGAAGGTCCTAGGAAGTGAACCAGGTCCCACAATCCAGAGGAAAACAAACTCCTACAATCCTAGCCACTCTGACCTTTTCTGACTTCACATTTAGTAACCTGTTTGGCCCTCAGCTGAAAAGCTACACCCCTCTAGTCATGCATCAGTAAGGTTTCTAGGTACCAGTACACTCCAGTCAATGTGCACAATGTGTCTAAAACTTCACACCTCTGGATAACTAGAAAGCTTCTTCTAATTCCTAATTAAAATTTATTCATAACCTGCCTATAGCCATGTGATCTTATGTCAGTGTTATATTTTTAACATAAGCAGCATTTCTTCCTCTGCAATTTTCACCTTAAAGATATATTTAAGAAAAAAAAAAAAAATCAATCATTTCTCTCCAGATCTTTATTTTACTATGCTAAACAAGTCAAGCTCCTACAGTGTTCTTTCACTGGATAAGTTCTCCCTTCCCTCAACCATGTTCCAGTTTGTACTTGTGTGATGGCCAAAACCAAAGAAATTAATAAGCAATAAATATGTGCTTCTTGGAGGCATTTGGAACTTTTGTCTAATATGAAGCTTGTATTTTTATAACCCGCAAATGTAACTTGTAACTGTTTGGGGAACTGACTAGGCCTCAAAGACAAAGCTACAGCTGTGAAATTAGCTGACCTAATAGTTCTTTCTCGCTCAGAATTTAGCCTTGATGATGATAAAAACTGGATTCAACTGCCTAGCTTGTCCTTTCTTGAAATGTACTGGATCTCTCAAAAAAGCATAGTCAGAGAGTTTTGAAGGGGCTCGATTTAGGCGGGGTAATTTCAAACCTGAAGATGCTGTGTTGCAATTTGCTTATTGGATAAACCCAAGCTTGGGCAGTAACTTATTATAATAATTTCTAACACCTTTTAACCCCAAAGGATAACAGCTATAAAGCAATATTATGAATGGCTACGCAACTAAAAAATTAGCGTAATTAGAATATAAAAGAACACACGTCATAGTAACCCTCGGGAAGGACGGAACAGAAGGGTCATTGCTGTCCCATACCCCCACGGATCTCTCTTACTCCCTGTGAGAGCGAGGACCAGATCCTGACTGAGGGGCTTCCACTGGTTCTCCTTCGGGCAGCCCAGTGGCTAATAAAGTTGCAGTGCTCAGTCAGTCTGCAACTAAACTGATATACTCACAGTGCCCAGCTAGCCTGTGACATACCGGTTTCAATTTAAGTTAATTTATTTTGAACACTGATGACTAAAACCATACACAGCATTCTAAAGGGGGTCTTACCAATGCCTTGAACAGTGCTAACAGTAACTCCTTGTCAATATCCCACCTAAAACACCTTAAAATAACTTTCACTAATGCACCACACTGCTGGCTTTTGGTCATCCTATGGTCAAATATATTTAGACCCCTCTCTTCATCAAGTTATCTCCAATCTATAAGCCCTCATATGACTGTCCAAGTCCTTGTTTTAGGCCAGGAAGCATATGACTACACTTCATATTATTAATCTTCATATAACTTCAGTTCTGGGTGCCACCATTCAAAAGAGACATGGAGAATCTTGAGAGAGTCCAGAGAAGGGCCACATGAATGATTAAGGACCTGGAAGACAAACTTTATGAGGAAAGACAAAGGATCTGGAACTGTTCAGCCTGGGGAAGAAAAGACTGAGGGGGGGGACCTGGTGGCCATCTATAAGTATGTAAGGGATAAATATCAGGAGCTGGGAAAAAAACTGTTTACTAGGGTGCCCCAGGTGAAGACAAGGAACAATGGCCATAAGCTGTTAGAGGATGGTTTTAGGTTGAATGTAAGGAAGAACTTCTTTACAGCAAGGATGACCAGAATCCGAAATAGACTTCCCAAAGAGATGGTACAATCCCCAACATAGAAAGTCTTCAAGAGAAGACTGGACAGACACTTTGCTGGGATCATTTGATCTCAGCAGTATTCCTGCCCAGAGCGGGGGGGGTTGGACTCGAGCTTTCAAGGCCCTCTCCAGCCCTTAATTTCTATGAAGTCTATGAACCACTCCACAAAATAACTCAAGTCACGTTGTATAATAATTCAGACCTCTTCCATTTTGGCAATACTCCCACTTAATGTCATCTACAAATTTCACGAGGACACCTCTGGTTCCTGCACCAAGATTGCTCATAAAGATGTTAAACAGGAAAGGTCTTACAACAGACCCCTGGGGAATACCATTAATATCAGACCAGAAGCAGTTAAGTCACCTTTCAGGATAACATACTGTAGTCTCCTTTTGAGGTAATTCCTTTTCCACTTCATTACTGAAGTACAGGTGTTCCAAGATCATAAGTGATATTGAAGTCAAGCTAACATGGGTCTGTAGTTTCTTGGGCCACTCTCTCTCACTTTTTGGAAGACAGACACCATATTTGCTATTCTCTAGTCATATGGTACTATCCCTAAGTTGACACGTTTTCTGAAGATTCATGCTGCAGGGAGGTACTATTTCACGTGCCAGCTTTTTCTATATTCTGGAACAGTTCTTTCAAGCCCACACAATTTTGTGACAATAAACAATTTAAGTTTGGCATCCACCTTAAATATGTTAATTTCCATATGCAGGCAAGCTTCATTGGGTAGATGTGATATCTTTTATTAGACCAACTGAGAAGCTGGAAAAAAGTTCTTTGCAAGCTTTTGGGCACAAGCATCCTTCTTTAGGCATAGGGAGTCTCTGCCGTTCTGAGATCTCCAAGGAATGAAAGAAGCTAAAAGTGTGAAGGATGTCAGTTAGAATGTAAATAGGTGGAAATTAGGAAAACAATGGGGAAAAAAGGGAAGTGGGGGGAACAGGGGGAAATAATGCAAAGGTAAGTAAGAGACACTCTACTGTAGTTGAGTTCTCCAAGGTAGAAAAGAGGCAGTCTGTGAAAAAATAAATGGCTAGAAATTAGGAGGACAAAGGATAGAAAAGGAAGGGAGGGGAAGAAAAGAAGTGTAAATGGTAAGGTCAGACAGATTGTAACGTGTCATAAATCCAATGTTTATATCGAGTCCATGATTTTTTTTATTTAGTAGTTTTATGAAGTGAAATTTGTAGGTTCGTCTACAAAAGGTGTTTTGTAAGTTCCCTTTGAGGATTGGAGCTGAGAGATCAGAGGGAGTGACTGTCTTGTGGGAAGTGTGCACCCACAGGTAATTGGATATTTTTGTCTTCGATGGATTTTTGGTGTGTGGTCATTATGATGCGCAGCTGTTGTTTGGTTTTTCCTACATATTTTCCATCAGGGAATTTGGTGCACTGGGTGAGATGTAAGATCCAAGAATGGTGATGGTTCTGTTGTGGGGTGTGGTTATTGTGGGAGTGGGGGAGATGTGTTGGCAGGTTTTGCATTTCTTGTCCTGGCATGGTCTGGATCCATTTGGCATGGTTTGGGCCACAGGGAGTTTGCTTCTGGTGATAAGGTTAGCAAGATTTGGTGCTTGTTTAAAGGCTAGGATGATTGGTTCTGGAAAGATCTCTTTAAGAATTGGGTCTTCTTCTAGCACGAGTTCCAGTTGTGTAAGGATTTTCCATGTAGATTCCAGGAAAGGTGGTACGTCATAACTAATGGCATGTGATTCGTAGGGATTTTCTTTTTGTACTGCAGCAAATCTTCACATGGTATCCAGGTGTCTCTTTCAAAAGTATGATCTCTCTCTCTTAAGGAGTATCCTTGTTGGGTGAAGGCCCTTTTGAGATTTGTGAGGTGGTGATCACATATCTATGCCACTTGATACCTAACCATTATCATAAATTACATCATAATCTTCACTGAAGACTGAGGCATTATTTGGACTTATCTAGGTTATACTTGATCTTCATTGAGTTATCAAGTTATAGTATTCCCACTTCTTCTCTCCTGCTTCTCAATTTATACTGAAGAGGTTTTTGTTATTATATCCTTAAGAAACAAAATCTACGTTGGTCACACTCTTATTATTCCTATATTCTGTGACTACAGAAAGATACCGCACCTTCCCAATCAATCTCTACTAGACCCTCCGCTTATTTTCAATAGCTAGTTTCCAAAGCTGGTTCATCCAGATAAGCAGCAACCCTTCCTTACCAATTTCTTTCTGCTGCAGAGGCAGAGTCCCAGTAACATTTGAATTTTTGCTTCCAAAACAATCCTGGGCCACTTCTACATTTGCCTTTCAAATCATGCAGACCTCATCAATCATTGCGTTAGTTTCTCAAAATTAGCACCTTTGAAGTCCAAACCCATTGTTATAGACTTATTCTTTTCTGTCCTGCAATTTAAATTGAAGTGAATCAACTCATGATCACTTAATATATGACTTGTTTCATAACCAGTTCTTCTATAGTCTTCATTATTTGCCAAGACTAGGACTAAGATAGCTCTACCTCTTTTTGGTACAGGAAATCAATGATAGATTTTTCTCTAAGTTATCTCTTACAAAAATATCCAAATCTTCCCATTATAGGTAGCATTTGCTATCCAGTCTCCTACAATAACACTAATTTCCACTATTACTAAATTCTCTCAAAACATTAGATCTCTTAGACATAACCTTTTTCCAAGTCTGAAGCTTGGAATCTATAACAATTGCCCAGCACAATCCCTTTCAGGCCTATTTTATTATTCCCAATTATTGTGATTTTAACTTATTGTTTTGTCTAGGCCATCACATTTTATTTTCTTGAAATCTATCACTTCACTAATAAGCAGTGCTACCCCATCACCTTCTTATTTCTGTCCTTCCTAAAGTGTATGTATGTTTTAATGCCTGTTTCCCAATAATAGCTTCTGTTCCACCATTTTTCCAGTATTCCTATTGTGTAGATTTTTGTGTCCCATACTAGAAACTCCAGTTTCTCGGCTTTATTATTCAGACTCCTTAAATTGATACACAGATATTTTAGCTGTTTCCATCTTTCCTGCTTGGCCACTTCT